GCTTTAATGTTCAAAAAGCTCTTTATTTTTCTCATACAGCCTGTGCTGCAGCACCTCTTTTCACCCTCTGTCTGAAACCAGAGCCCAGTCTGCTCTGATTGGTTAGCTGGCCAGCTCTGTCTCCACTTAGAGAAGTCCCGCCCTTTAGCTTATTACGTACAATATGTTGGAACGCTTTCCACTAGAAGCGCGAGTGTTACTTAGTGATGTCATAATGTTCTGTCAGTAAGTCCAATAGAGGCGTTAGGGAATTTGGGGATTTTAGCCATAGCAGACCATTTACATGCACAAAAACATATAACACATTACAAGGAAGGGAGAACTCCAAAAAGCATAATAGGGCCCCTTTAACCCCAGAATGTTGTGACGTAATATTCCAAAATTCACAACAAGTTATCACCTAGCAATTTTTTCTGCTTCAATTTATAATAGTTTTTTCTTAAATAACATGGAGTTCAGCCCTTGTTGTAAGTTAAGCGCGGACTGACCTTTCGGACAACTTGGATAAAGTCCTTGGAGTTCTGCGGGCTGAGGCCCTGTATCTGACGAGTGCAGGCCTCCAGGGAGGAAGCATGGGCCACAATCAGGACCGTGTTTCCTGTGTGAAAGAGGTAAAGAAAAGCATTCCACAGATACCATAAGCTTCTATGCTGTTTGTTTATGGGCACTCAGCAGATGATGATATAGAGCTTGAAAAATGTTCAGGCTCTTGAATGCATTGCCTTTTATTTTGAGATTTGGCCCACATCCAAATCAAACATCTTGCTCGAGAAGGCCAGCAGAGTCAAAACAAAGTGCCTATTGTGTGACACTATTCCGTTTCAAGGCCTTCTGATAGTGTTAAGTGTCAGGTGCATTTCTCTTTGTTTAAGGCCATCAAGGCAGGAGCCCATTGTTTAATTTTGATTTCATTAGCTCATGCTCATTGTAAAGTGGCCTCCAGAGATTGCGCACAGAAAGAATGGGAAGCATTTAAGGGTAATCATCTCAATAAAAGAGCTGGCATTGTAGTGAATGCTGCCAAGAGTTTTTACTGCATTACCCAGGTTTTTGCTGTCTGTCAGGATCTCGCGGGTTACTTGGAAGCTCCTGCTGATGTAGGTGTCGTAGCTTTCTGATACGGTCAACTTGCTTACGGGAATATGAGGTCTGGGGACAAACCAATATATATATAGGAGGTTAGAATTCAATTGTAGAATCACAGATGAAGGTGTCGTGATGCTTCAGGGTTGGTGTACCTGTACGTTGTGTCCACATTCAGGTTAGCAGCAGCCAGCTCAGCTGGGGGGATCCACACGGGTAAACTTGTGCCTGCAACCCACTTGGTCCATTCAAACAACCCAGGCTCCACACGGATTTTTGTCTTTGCCTCCTGCTGGAGACCTAACATACAGTGAAACAGAGAGAACATTGAAATCACTCACCTCAGTTTTTTTGGGAAATATACGAATACTTTTTCACATAAAATGTAAGACTTTGTGCAAAAAGTAATAATTTTGGTCGTATGTTTGTTAACATGAAGAAATAAAGTATAGATAAAAAAGAAAAACATTAAGTAAGTGTTTTGCTGTGGTCAAAGGAGGTAAGTAATGGGAAAGATATATACCTTCCGTAAACCCCCCAAAGATTTTCCTATCAGTTTCTTTTGCTAATAATTTATTAAATGTTTATAGAAAAATGTGTATTGGATGTGCGCAAATCTTAAAGATTCAGATCCAAAACTAACACTAATAGTCCAATATTGTCGTGCAGCAGTAGCTCTGAAATCAACTCTGACATGTGAGTATAACATCATGGCAGTTAAGAAACTGAATAGATGTTGCCGTGAGAATATTGACGAGGTCTCACCCTGCAGAATGTTCTGAGCAGTCTGGACGCAGCGAAGAGAAGGCGAGCAGTAAACAAAGTCTATTCCTGTGTGGCTTTCCAACAGAGCTTCACCTGAAATAGACCAAAATACATTTCAATTGTACCCTTTACTGTATTCAACAACCCTTCAAACTATAGTAACTTTTCAACAAGATCAAATGTACTTTACTTCATATGTACTGACCTACAAGTCGGGCCTGGGTGGAGCCGAACACAGTAATTGGACAATCTTTATCGTAGTCCCGGTGACTTCCACTTCTGGCTGGCAGGCTGGACGGCATGTTGAGGTTGGAGCGAATGTATCGGCCTACACAAACACAAATGAGGATCTTACAGAAGAAGCAAATACTCAACTCAAAAATGTGTAATCAACATCCCCCTGCATGCTTACCTTTGGCGTCAAAGCACTGAGAGACCCAGTTTTTCCCAAACACCACGTCCATCCTCTCGCCATGGCGACACACAAACAGTCTCATCTTGGAAAGGGAAGACTGACAGGTCGGCCTCAACACCTGAGAAAAAGATTCCATTTAAATCTAATATAAATAAAGCCAATAGAAGCACAAGAGTTACACAGTGATGTAATTATGTTACGGAAGTAAACAAAGGAGTCCAACGGAGGTGAATCAGGCAAAGCAGGGGTGTCAAACTCAAGGCCCGGGGGTCAAATCTGGCCCGCGACTTCATTTGATGTGGCCCCGCAAGAGCTTGCAAAGAATATAACACGTATATTATACGGTTACATGCCACTTTACAGAAGCAGATTGCGCATAAACTACATGTCCCACAATGCATCTCGTTTTGTGACATGCACACTGAAGAAACTTGCAATTATTTGCCTTGGACTTCTGCTTTCAGACGTAGTTAATTACTAAGTTATTATCCTATCCGATAATAATCCAATTCAGAGGCAATAATGTAATATAATACATTATTTTATATATATTAGATATTTATATATGTATATTCATATAGTTACCACCAGCCCTTTGAGTGCAACCATAATGCTAATGTGGCCCGCAATGAAATTGAGTCTGACGCCCCTGCACTACAGGAAAGGGAAAACCCACAAAAGCATAATTTGGCTTTTTTTATTTCATGCTACAAGCAGTTATAATTCGTTTTTAACACTCTCAAAGAGGAATTGACAAAAGGACTGTGCTGCTTTTGGGGCTGCTAAACCTGTGTAAAAAGACAAAATAATAATTTGCTTTAATGCATCCCTAACTTCACTGCTGGGCAAAAAGTATCTTGGTGCTCCTTTGCAATTTGCACATATTTAAATGAGGTAATATGCATTTGCAGCAAAATTGGTCTCTTAGTATGCAAATGATCAGCACTAGCCGCAGGCAGTTACAGTCAAATTATTCGCATTTCTGAGAGTTGGGAACATTTATAATGGATGTCTGCTTGAACTAATTCATTTTAGGATGCAGTTACAGGATGCAATGATAGTTGGGTCATGATATGGTAATATATAATACAGATGCACGCATTTGTTATGTGTGAGGAAAAGCAAGGACATTAGGTTTATAAAAGGTACATACTAAGCTATGTCATGTTTCAGTTAATAATATACTATTATTTAATACTTCAGAATACTTGCCCGACATTTCTTCAGCTACTTGCTTATGTTTTTATAATTAAGTTGAATAAATACAGCATATTTTGTTAATTAAACTGTACTTTTACTATACATCTCCCTTTTTTACTGTGGGTTGGTTACATTACGCTCTACCAAAGGTTGCCTCTTGTACACTTCAGAGAGAATGTAATGGTCATTTAGCATGCAGCCTGTAAGCCGTAGTGCTGAATACCTGCATAGGAGGACAGAGGCCAGTAAGGCTGGGAGGATCCATGAGAGTGTCAAACAGACTGTCGTTCAGCTGTCCGTCAAACAATGACCCCGCCACGCTGCTGCCGGAGATAGACGGAGAGGCACTGGTGAGCACGGAGTGAGACCTGAGGATTAGACAGAGGACTCCATTTTATTCAAATAGCCGTTAAAAAATAGCACTCATTATCCACAGTGAAGAGAGGGAACATTAGCAGACAACCAACACACTGGTACAGTCATATGAGAGTCAGGAAAACACAGGACTAAGCAGGGCACGGATCAAATTAAGTGAGTAAAGTGTGTTTACGTGTCTTGAAAATATGAATATAGTGAAGAATAAATGGGTAGAGCGAGGGAGGAAACACAACCTGTTCAAAGGCAGTTTTAGAAAAGAGGAAGATGACTAATTTTCCCTTTAATCTTTGCATTCAGCTTAGTGGAAACGGTGTGCTTAAACTGTAGAGAACACACATTAAAGGGATCTGTGGATTGTCAGTTTGAGGAGGATACGTCCCCTCCTGACCCAGAAAGCGACGCAGGTTCTGGTCCAGGCTCTCGTCATCTCACGCCTAGACTACTGCAACTCCCTCCTGGCTGGTCTACCTGCATGTACCATCCGACCCCTGCAGCTCATCCAGAATGCAGCGGCTCGTCTGGTCTTCAACCTTCCTAAATGTTCCCACACCACTCCGCTCCTCCGCTCCCTTCACTGGCTTCCGGTAACTGCTAGAATCTACTCCAAGACACTGGTACTTGCGTACCATGCTGTGAATGGATCTGGCCCTTCCTACATCCAGGACATGGTTAAACCGTACACCCCAGCACGTGCACTCCGCTCTGCATTAGCCAAACAGCTCGCTGCACCCGCACTGCGAGGGGGACCCAAGTTCCCATCAGCAAAAACACGTGGGTTTGCTATCCTGGCTCCAAAATGGTGGAATGAACTCCCCATTGAAATCAGGACAGCAGAAAGCTTAAACATCTTCTGGCGCAGACTGAAAACTCATCTCTTTTGACTCCACTTCGAGCGATACAATGAAAAACAGAAAACAAAAAACAAAACAAAACAAAATAAAGAGCACTTATACTAACAAAGCACTGGCTTATCTAAAGCCAGTTGAGTAGCACTTGAAATGTTTTGGCTCTATGAAACCTGAAACCTGAACCTGATGAATGCAAGAAACACATGGCGATGGATTTACCCCGCTTCCTTTTCTTACCCGTGGACGACCCAGGTGTCAGACTCATCAGCGCGGTTGACGTAGTTCTCAGGCAGCAGGCCAGACAGCCCCGTGCCCAGCGAGGTGCCGAACACNTAAATGAATTACAAACTATTCGTAAACCCTTTATAAGGGTAGTCTTATTGTAAAGTGGTACCGTTTCGTTAACTCATTTTTTTTATCATTTGACTTTATCTTGAATTACTTCGGTTTAACCGTTTTTTACTTTGTAGCGGCCAAAATCATATAGAAATAAAACAGATAATTAACTTAAAATAATACAGCCGCTGAGGCACTAGTTAGCAGATCTTACGCAGGGCAATGATCCAGGTCCAGACAAGATTCTCCGTTGTACATTTACTATGATCCAATATCATTGACAATGAACAGGTTTCCTATGGTTTGTTCCTTAAACCTTTCCTATTGCTTTCCTTTCCTGTGGTTGGAAAACCCTGTGGCTCGAAACACCCTGGTAAAAAAAAAAATGTTTGCCTACTAGTGCTCTGGCTTCCACTTCCACCTGTTTCCAATATATACAATTACACCAGGTGCTCTAATCACCCAGTGCCCAAAACATGCCTTCAAAATAAAAGCATAGAAACTACTTTAACTTATGAGACTAACTAAGAATACATTTACAATAAACACTATAAAACAGCAAGAAAATAAATGTTAAACTAGTAAATAATATAAAGAGATATATTTTATGGTTGATTCAAGGCTACTTCAGTAAACTATACATTCAATAATTGCTTGTTAATTTGAATTAGATAAGATTAGATTACATTTTACTGTTGACTTTCTCCAGACTAAGAGTCGAGACGTTTCTGTTTTGTGAAGGATCCAGTGCTAAGAAGTTCACACAACCTGTTTTCTGAGCAGTAGACTGAGAAGCAGTTTTCCTACCATGTCAGAGAGATGATTGAGACCCATGGTGAAGCTGTGGTTTCCTGCTGAGGCCTCCTGGTTGTGTCTCAACACTAACAGCATGTTCTTCTCCCACACCGCTCTCCTGAACTCCATCTCAGTCTGAAACCAACACACAGGCTAAATGATCTGATAAAGTGTGTGAAAATGTGTGTGTATGGTTCTGACATTCTTACCTTATTATCATAAACCTTGTGATGTTCAATTTGCCATTCCTCCCACACTTTATTTAAGGCAGACGAAGAGTGGGTGAGGATCACAAACGGCAAAAGCAACACGGCACAAAGTATATGCATCCTGCAGAGGGAGAAGCGAAACTATTCATATTATAAGAGCAGATTATCCCTTTTTTTTATTGTAACTAGAACCAATTTTTTGTTATTTAAACAGAATTTCTTCAGGTCTTTTACTCTTAACGTCGCTTTGAGTTCTGCATCAACAATCGGACCACTTATTTTCTGATATCTTAAAAATATCTTAAAAATATCAACATCTAAACTTTGACATATCATAGTTGTTCATGTGCACTGTGCTCGTCGAGTCTTAAGAGAAGACAAACACCAGAGAAAATCCAGTGCTGTACAACTTTGATTCAGGAAATGCAGCAGAAGGTTTTTAGCTCAAATCAGTCTCACTGTAATCTTTGAGCTTCTTTCTCAGCTAAATGTTTGCTCTTACATCATTAGCTTTTGATATCTACTCAGAATATCAGTAAAACAGTCTCAATGCATTACAAAGAAAATGTTGCATTTACCTTTTTGCAGAATTATCCGCAGGGGAGAAAGTGAACAAAGAAAGTTTGTAACGGACCAGAAAGCCTTTCTCCCTTTAGAAAGAGGAAGTATAGCTTCCTCCTGCACTCTGTTGCTTGTTTTTTGCTCCGTCCTTCAGTTCATCTGCTCTCTAACTTGGCATGTGAATCTAATTTACAACTAGCTAGAGAGGCCCACAATACCTTTCCACTACCAGAGGTGGAAGTTATAAAAGTTACATGATAGTAATATTTAACAATAATAATAATTTGTTATCTAAAAAATAACTGTAATAGATTGATAGAAAGACATAGGCCACGTATTTTCCACCATTTTCTGGTTCATTATTAAAAAACACATATCATTGAGTTTGTCATTTACACATGAGAAAAACTAATTATTTGACAGAAAAACAACAATAAAAACACAATACACATTCAGTTTCAACTTTCTCTGCACAAGAAACCATCGAGTCACTTAATATCGGAAGAACTGCAGTTATTAATTGGAATTCAAGTTAATGCACGCGGCTAAAAATTGTCAAACAATTTACCACTGTAAAACCACAACTATGTGTTGTTTTTTTCTTAAACTTTTTTTTCTCAGATTAAAACAAATACATAGCGTTTGGATTTGTGAACTTGAATGGTGCTGGTAGGCACTTTTTGATGCATGCCACTGCCACTTATTTTCAGCCACTATGCTAAGCTAACTAGCGGCTGGCTGTATTGGTGGCTATATTCTGGCTTAATGATGTGATATCTTCTGATGTAACTCTGTAGTAAATACAATTGGTGTATAATATTTTTTCTATAAAGATGCTGACCATGTCATTTGCAATGTCGCTGGGTAATACTTGGCTGAAGACATTTGTTGCAAATCATCTCTGCAATCCCCCTTTTCTCTTATCTGTGTTCTGTACTCTGTCTAATAAACAGGAGGGAATAACCTATAGACATCACAGCCGTCAACACCACAGGGAGCAGCAGTGACGAAGCAAAATAATGATAAAAATACATTGTGATATAGGAGCTTTAGGAGCTCTGATTTGTCCAAGACAGTTGCTTTCGTCACTGATTTTCCCTTCCGATGTTGGACAGAGATTTCGCTGATGAAGGCAGATTCCCCGGGGTACCAGATGGTATGTGACTGACTAAGCACCGGCTCTTCTTCTGTGGTGATCGTGCACCTTTCGTTTCAATACACACCTCATAATCCTTCAGCTGAGCAGAAAGTCAGGCAAATCTGTGTTATTTTTCTATCGCTTATTGAAGGGAGTGTTGGCATATCCAACTGAGAAGTGGAGCAGTGTTGGTGTAGCTCTATCATAAATGTAAGAAGGAAATTATGTATTTTTGGGTTAAGTTTGACCTGTCCCCACCTTCCAGCACTACAAATCAACAGTTGTGTCTTCATCGAAAGGCTTTAATAGACCAAAAATCTGAAAAGAATATGTATTTCTAAGTGTCAGTGCTTGAATTCATTCCCATCTGGTGTTTGTGCCCAAATCTCTTCATTTGGCTGACCTGTGTGCTACCTCCTGTCATCCAGTAGAGTGAGTTGGATGCAGCCCAGGAGCTAGTGTATATAATCCCCCAGCATGCACCTAGCACACACACACGTCCATGAGCCAGGTTTGTGTTGCCATGAGTACAGCGAAGCAACAGGGGAACAGAACTGCAGTAACACGCTTCCTCCGGAGCTGAATAATTCAGAATGGGAGGATAAGGCTTTCCCGTTATGATATGTCTGTCTCTTTCTCTCACACTGCAGGTTTCATTTGGATGTATTTCTGAGGTGGACCCGAGAAGACCAAAAAGACTAACCCTGCTCTGAGACTTATCGTTCTTTGTGTGCATGTTTACAGAGACAATAATAGAAAAAAAATTTTGCAAAATGGTTCTACCTTTTGATCACAAAATTGTTAAAATGGAGCTATCACAATGACAAGCCCTCCAGACTGAAGAGACGGTGAGTTACAATGTTTGATTTTCTCACTCTTACATCACTTCGTGTACCTTACATTGTTCTTCAGCTCTCTAAAATGTTAGCACCCAGTAAATAACTGTGATTTCACCTTTGTACACTGTTTTCACTCTCAAGCATGTATACGCTCTCAGGAGGTGTCAGTCTTCATCACTCACTGCTCTGGGGAGCGCCTACAGTATTCCCCAGCTCTATACCCATAACTGTCTAAATAAAGTAAAAACCTAAAAATGATAATCCTACACACAGCAATAACTTATTTTGTCATAAATACACTCTATTGAATATAACACGTTTCCAAAGAGGCAAAAATCCAATGATTTAAGTGTAAAATGTTTAGTGAGCTCTTTCAAATGCAAAAGTTAAATGTTAATGTTAAAATAAAAATATATACATGCTTACCTATTTTCTTTTTATTTAGAAACACTGCTCTTTTGGCAAATAATGTATGTATATAAGAAATAGTACTACTATAAATGCAGTCTTTGTCTCTCTGTCCCTCTTGTCACATGTTCTATAGTGTTGCGTTGTTTAATACAACATGTGAAAAGATCTAAGGTGGCATCACACTTTTTTTCCAGCACTCTCTTGGCAATCTAAATAGCACATTTCAGTCACACATTTTATTTGATGAACTGATTCTGTTGAATTGCTACCTAGCATTCTCGTTTCCATTTTGAAAGGAATGATGTCTGTTTATATATCATGTCAACATACATATATGCATTAATTATTTGAGGAGATATAGTGTAATTACTGATAGCTATTTTACAGTAACTGACACTTTTATCCCGGTTGCAGTTAAACTTCGAGCAGTGTTATAAAACCATTGGGACTGGACATCCTGTCCAGAAATATATTTTTGCTTTTACTGCACCATAGTGGTTGATTTACTATTGGTTCATATAAAGAGAGAGCAGCTTCTCACATAATTCTGGGTCTGAATATCAAGAAAATACCTCATCATGTGAAGCCTAAAAGTTTTAATAATCATTATTTTGACTACTATTTATGTTTTGCAAAACGCTCCCTATTTTCAATGATGTATATATCCTTCTCACTCTTTTATCAGCTGCCTCTCTCTCTAACACACAGGCCACCAGATGTTTGAGGGGATTGCCGTCCACCAATGGCTGTGCTGTGGAGCTCTCTTCCTGTTGGCAGCGGGGGCGGCCTTCTCCTCTGAAACCCGCCGGTCGTGTCCACAGCCCTGCCGCTGCAACACCGTGCTGCAGGAGGTCAACTGCTCCGATGGACAACTCACTACAGTGCCCAACATTCTCCCGCAGAACACTAAAATACTAAACTTGACACATAATAAGATCAAGTCTCTGGTGCAGCAGCAGTTCCAGACTTTGACACAACTTTTAGACTTAGATTTGAATGACAATATCATGGTTTTAATTGAGGTGGAAGCATTTATCGGCTTGCAAAGTCTTATAACTCTGCGTCTTGCTCGCAACCACCTAAAGATTATCCATGTGGGGGCGTTTGATGGTTTGCCAAAACTAGAGTTACTGGACATAAGCAGAAATGAGATCCTTGTTTTTCTCGATTTTACTTTCCGTGACTTAACTGCCCTTCAGTTTATTATAGCAGCAGATAATGACTTAGTTTTTATTTCTCGTCGAGCTTTCACTGGCTTAACCAGTCTGCAAGAGCTGCATCTCGATGGCTGCAACCTCACTGCCGTGCCGACAGAGGCGCTCACTCAGCTAGGCGAGCTGAGGAGTCTTCATTTTCACAGATTGGGCCTCACAACGCTGCCAAACTACGCTTTCCGTCAGCTAGAGCATCTCAAGGAACTTGTCATTTCTCAATGCTGTCTGGAGAATTTGTCAGGAAACAGTCTCTTTGGACTAAATCTTACATCCCTGACTATTAGAAACTGCAACCTCAGTGCTGTCCCCTACACCCCTTTGCATCATCTTGTATATCTTGTATTCCTAGACCTTTCTTTTAACCCAATTAAATTCATTTATGGGAACCTTTTTGGAGAGTTGCTCCGGCTCCAAGAACTGCATTTGGTGGGGGGATCATTGCTGCGTATCGATATTGGAGCATTCCGAGGTTTGGCTCATTTCAGACTTCTGAATGTATCCAGAAACCTTCTCACCACACTTGAGGTGGGAGCCTTCCATTCAGTGGACACCCTGAGGAATCTGGGACTAGACAACAACCCACTAGCATGCGACTGCCGCCTGCTGTGGGTGGTGCGAAGGCAACCATATCTGGAGTTTGGCGGAAATCCACCGACTTGCAGAACCTCAGTGCAGTTGCAGGGTTGGTATTTTCTGGACTTTACTGAAGCTGAACTCCCAGGTCTGCTCACATGTCGGCAACCTCGTATTCTGAACCGCAAACCTCAAGAAGTGAGAGTAGATCAAGGACACACAGTGGTGTTTGAATGCAATGCAGAAGGTGACCCTGTGCCATCGGTCACCTGGATAAGCCCACAGCTAAAACCTCTATTGCCCATTGGCAGAATACGGGCTCTCTCTAATGGCTCGCTGGAGGTTCGCTATGCCCAACCTATGGACAGTGGTGCTTATTTCTGCGTGGCATCTAACGCGGCAGGAAATGACAGCATGCCCGTCAGCCTTCATGTCCGAGCCTTTCCAGCATCTTCCAAAAAAAACATTCGTCTTAAAGGCTGGTTTGCCTTTCCGTCCGCCTCGCCAGGTGTGAGTGGAGACCAGAATATCTCATTTGATGTAAAGACGTTACTGGTAGCTGCAACCATTGGATTTCTTTCATTCTTCAGCTCTGTGAGCGTATGTTTCATCTTCATGCTCTTCTGGAGTAAGAGTAAAGGGCAAATAAAGCACACAGCCACAATAGCATACGTGCCACGAAGTGCTGAGTCAAGTAATAACGAAGGGAAAGGCAACTATATGGAGACAAGCAGGTTCACCATGAAACTAATATGAGTCAATAAAAGGTTTTTATTTTTGCTTGATTAGATTACGTTTTAATTAATTTAATTTCAAAGCATGCAAATGTGTGTCCAACACACACTGAGTGTTAATTAATCCGTAAGCATGTAAGCTAGAGCTGCAAAAGGGAAAAAAGTAAAATGTGATGGCATGATTCTAGATGTTAATAAGAGTCTAAGTAACGTTTTAGGAACATCTAACCACATCAGTTCCTGTCTGTCTCTGACACACAAGCTCCACTATAACAAACCCT